TATACGCTTGTTAACACCAGTCACAACATAAAACCACACAATAATAAATACAATTAGAGACACAGACAGACAGATGGACAGACAGACAGACAGACAGACAGACAGCGGTACACACACACACAATAACAACAGTTCTCCCACCAGTGTGTTCTCCCTAGATCGCTTACATCACAAGTTCCCAAACACAGTTACTCAGTATGTGTGCACCTCAGTCTGTGTACACCCAAGTCCGTGTACATCTTAGCCCTGTGTGCACCTTAGCCTGTGTTAACATCTCATTCGATGTGCACCTCAGCCTGAAGGTAACTCATTAACGACACTCCCTGTACCCGGGCCGACTAGGAGGAGTTACAGTGAATACAGCTACATCAGTGAACTCGAATAACAGTGAAATACAACACACAGTAAATACGATGTTGTAGTAAGATACATCACGGTGGGGGGAGGTGTGGTGGGGGTAGGTAGGGTGGTGGGGAGTGGGTAGGATTGGTGGTGGGGTGTGGTGGTGGGGTAGGTGGGGTGGTGGTGGGGGTGCATTAGAGATTGGTGGTGGGGGTAGGTAGGGTGGTGGTGGGGTGCAGGTAGGGTGGTGGTGGGGAGTGGGTAGGGTGGTGGTGGGGGAGGGTACATCAGCTAAGACGAGATAGTACATTTAAGTACATCAAGAATTAAGTACATTTGTTAATACTCATAATTACCATTTACTCTAAAGATCAAGCCATAAAAATTGGTTTCACAGTCCATTAAAGACATATGGCTGACACAGTAATCTATCGGACAAGACATAAGACTGACAGACTGGCATTGGGAAACAGTAGCCTGAGGGAGGGAGTGTCTGAGTGACGCGGTGGTGGTGTTGATGGTAGTGGTGATAGTGATGGTCCTAAGTGGTGATAGTGGTGGTGGGTAGTAATGGTGATGGTGGTGGTGTGGAAGAGATGGTGTGTGTGTGTACAGGTGAAGGGAGGAATGTCTTAAGAGGGGGGTAGCAGGATTGTGTCTAGCAGAGGGGTATGTCTGTGGTATGTGAGAGTCGTGATCCCCCCACACACACACACTCAAGCGCGCCCAGGACCTGTAAGAGTGAAGGTCACCTGTGTGGCCCAGGAGGGAGGAGGAGAGGGACAGGTGACTCTGCGTGGGTGCATGGAGTCAACCCCAATTACCGGTTCATGGGCTAGGAGCCATATGTCTGGTTCGTGGGCAAAATAAACCCTCACTGACTGGGTAGAATAAACCCTCATGACTGATCCCATGGGCAAAATAAACCCACATCATTGGTTCCATGGGCAGGATAAGGCCACGTGATGGGTCCTACGTGAAGGGTATAAATCACCTGTCAGGTTCATGAGGGGGAAGGGAGGGAGAAGAGGAGGGAGAAAGGGGAAGGTGGAGGGGAAAGAGGAGAGGGGAAGGGGGGAGGGAAACGAAGAAGGGGGAAAGAAAGGGGAGAGGAAGGGAGGGAAAGAGGAGGGGAAGAGAGGGAAAGGGGGGAGGAGACATCAGCTGATCTACCACAAGGGCAGCGTGCATGACTAACCCGTGACGTCAGCCTGGTCAACCTCTACACCCGGACAATGTCATCACCACACACCGGGCGCCTCTCTCACTCACGGGGGTTTTTGGCCTTACTGACATCACGTCCAAGTCCAAAGATCAACCAAAAGACAGACTTACTGACACCCGAAAGTTGGCCAAGTCCAAAGATTATTCCCCTCAACCTATGTCAGGATATTCTCAAAGGATCGTAAATTGAGTTTTTCTCGCGAGTGGAGACGTAAGAACGGATTTAAGAGTTTGAGGGACTTTAAGCTTGAGGGACTTTAAGCTGGAGGGACTTTAAACCGTAAAAACCTCCTAAAATGACATCAAAATAATACCAAGACTCTACCTTAACTAGATACATTCACTTAGCACCAGTTAGGACACACACACACACACACACACACACACACACACACACACACACACACACACACACACACACACACACACATACACACACACCAGCTCACCTTGGCTCCACCCTGCAGGTACCAGTGTGGTGGGATAAGACCAACACACTGTACAGAGAAAGAAAGTCAGGAGGAAATAGTAACACACAAGACAGACTGACTGACTCACTGACTCATACATGGCTCCTTAGTTCTACCTGGGACTTGGCTCTAACATTGACGACACACACACACACAAACACATTTACTTCTCAAATCTTCCATTACCCTTTGTGTGTGTGTGTGTGTGTGTTTTATTGTCTTACCACACCCAATTCCTAAAACAATGCATTTCTGTGTTTTATTCGTCAGTGAGTCTTAAACACGACAGTAGGGGGGAGGATGGGGGTAGTAGGGGGAGTGGGGAGGAAAAGGAAGGGGGGTGGTGTAGATCTCTCACCTCTTCTTCGTCCTTCAGTGAGATATTTTACCTGTGTGTTTTTAATTAATTTGTTTTAACAGGTAGATAGATAGATAAATAGAAGCCATTTTTGATATGTTTGTACAGCCTATTGAAAACACAGGTGAGCTCAGTTAGGCTTTAAAGTAGGAATCACCGCCTAGCACAAGTGACGCTGGTCCAAGGTTACGCCCCCACCAGGATGACACTCCTCCAGGTCCTGTCTAACCTCCTATCCTTCATTCTATCATCCTTACACCGTCACTTCTATCCTTCCTTCACCTTAGCTCTTCTATCATTCTTTCTACCAACACCCTCCTGATATCAAACTGTTACATACACACACACACCCATACACACCAGCCACTCCACACCCCACACCCAGCCACCCACACCATCTCCCCTACTCCACCCTTCAACACCCTCGGAAATGCTCTAACACAGCTGACTCAACGCGCGCCTCTTCATACCTGACACACAACACCACCTACACCATCTCACCCACACCTCCCCCAACACCCACACCACCTCACCCACACCTCCCCAAACACCTACATCTCACCTACACCTCCCCAACACCTGCCACACCACCTCACCAATCTTCCCAACACCTACACGACTCACCTACACCCTCCCCAACACCTACACCCCCTCACCTACACCTCCCCAACACACCACCTCACCGACACCTCCCCCAACACCTACACGACTCACCCCCACACCTCCCCAACACCTACACACGACCTCACCCACACCTCTCCAACACCTACACCACACCACCCACACCCCCAACACCCACACCCCTCACCTACACCTCCCCAACACCTACACGACCTCACCTACACCTCTCCAACACCTACACCTCCCCAACACCTACACCACCTCACCTACACCTCCCCAACACCTACACGACCTCACCTACACCTCTCCAACACCTACACGACCTCACTTAGCCCTCCCCAACACCTACACGACCTCACTTAGCCCTCCCCAACACCCACACGACCTCACCTGCTCCTCCCTCCCCCCAAGACATGCAGGTAACGGGACTGGCAGGCGGCTGCACCTCATACAATAATACCTTACCAATACCGGCGGCACCTTCCTCGCACTGCCCCGGATAATAAGGCTAGGTTGGGTTGGCTTAAGTTGGGTTGGGTTAGGTTAGGTTGGCTTAGGTTAGGTTAAGTTAGGTTGGGTTGGGTTAGGTTAGGTTGGCTTAGGTTAGGTTAGGTGGGGTTGGGTTGGGTTTAGTAATATAAGCTCTCATGTGATCTCCATGAAAATCTGTAAGGCAGTGTGGGGTTTCTTCTGACACACCCTGTACAAATCTTAGCTGTGAGTCGTTTTTGTTTTAATACATGGACCACAGTGTACCCCTGTACCAGCACATGGACCGGTACTGGTGGTGGTGGTGGTGGTCCAGACCATCAGATGGGGTGGCGCTGAAGGAACAGGTAAGATGCAGGAGTTCACTACACCTGGCTGGGGTATCTTGTCTCTCTTGGTGAAGGAGGACGGGGTGGGGGAAGAGGAGGAAGAAGAGAGGGAGGAAGAGGAGGGGAGAAAGAAGAGAAGAAGGAAGAAGAGAAGGGGAGGAGGAGGAGGAGAAGAAGTGGCTGTCTCTCAGTCCATTAACTAATATCCCTACTCAGCTCATAAACGTTACTTTTGTCTCACTGAACTACAGGTTAGGTTAGGTTAGGTTAGGTTATGCAGTAAGAGTTGAGACACACGACACATTGGAAAGCTTTAGTGAACGAGAACACACTATGCCTTCAAGGTGTCATATCAGGTGTGTGTGTGTGTAAGCTACCTTGACACTGGTTTTTAGGCCACACACAAACACACACACACACACACACACACACACACACACACACACACACACACACACACACACAACTCCGGTTTAACAGACACGCAGAAACAAGTAACTTTATGAAGGTGAAACATAAACAATGGATCAAGAGCACCAGGAAGTTGTGATGTGAATTAGATGTTTCTCAAGGGGTGGGAGGGGGGTGACAGGTGAGGGTGGTTGAGAGGGACAGGTGTGTTGTGGTTCATGGTTCAACAACACTCTCTCTGGCCTGGTCGCCTCTGTGTTGTGTGGGCCAGGTAAAGATGTTTAGTTCTGGATGAAAGCAACGTTATGGTGAGGTATTTTGTGTGTGTGTGTGTGTGTGTGTGTGTGTACAGGAGACATTACTAGCGTGTGTATGTGTATAGAGATGCATAGACAGACACAGACAGATAGGGCAAAAGGATAGACAAAACACGTACGGTGACCAGACCAGACCACACCGTCCCTGGCTCGGTGCCCAACCCTCAGCTCTGACCCGGGGGTACACACACACCACTGCCCGCCCACTAACGTTCAGATAACTGCTTCTTCTCCTCACTCGGTGCCTCGAATACCAGGCCAACCACCAGACAGGTCAAGAGGAAGGACTATACCTTACCATATGGCTGTTTAACTGGTGATCCTTAGCACGTGTAGAGGTATTTCCTTGTTCACGTATCCATTCCTAGACCTCTTAACACTCACTAATTATCTCTCTCTCTCTCACACACACAAACAGAAGACCTGGGGGTGTACTGACCTCCCTTGGGTTTTGTCTCCGGGTAGCAGATGCGGAAGAGCCCCTTGGTGCGTGTCCTGTAGAAGCCACTGTCCTCAAACTCCTGTGGGGTGATGTCCGACAGCGAGAGTGATTTCTGTAGGAGGTAAAGGGGAATGGTGAGTCAAGCTTTATGTGGTGAGTCAAGTTCTACAGTCAAGCTTTATATGGTAAGTCAAGATCTAAATCAAGCTTTATATGGCGAGTCAAGATCTAAATCAAGGTCTTATATTTGGTGAGTCAAGATTAAACTAGTTAAGTCAAGTTCTAAGTCAAGATTAAAAGTCAAGAGTATTGATCAGTGAAGACATATCAAAGGTATATAAATAAATATAATAAAACCAATCAATATCAATTCACTCTAATAATAATAATATATTCTCGTGTATATACTTAAAATATACCGATATGTTTGTCAAGTATAACGATATTCCCGAAGTATGATTAAATATACGTATACCATCCCAATATACATGGTTATACATACAAACATACATATATATACTCCCGTCCATATGATTAAAATACATACAATTAAATTTCACATACTGGTAAACATACATGTATACATATGAGTATACATCCACATATATCCCTCAATACATGGAGCGGGGAGGAGGGGGGAGGGTGTGAATTCATATGCATACAGACACACACCACAAGAGACCTTTAACCCACCCCCCGGCCCCCCTCCGTGCCACAAAGCCACCACACCCAAGTTAAAGTGTGTGTGTGAGAGAGAGATGCATAGATAGATATATAGAAAGATAGACAGACGAACAGACAGACAGATAAAGACAGACAGACAGGAAGCAAGAACACTAGCTACCGTCCAGCCAACATAACCTTTCATGAAACACACCACAACATATACAGTACTCTCTCTCTCTCTCTCTCTCTCTCTCTCTCTCTCTCAACAGGAAGTCGCCTCATCCGCGTTCCTGGGACCCATACCCGACTATCACCACCTGCCACAACTCACTACCCCCTGTACTATAAGGCCACCGGAAGCGTTGAATGTTTATGAAGGCAGTTTAGACGGATAGAATGTTTTTGAAGGCAGTTTAGACGGATTGGATGTTTTTGAAGGCAGTTTAGACGGATATAATGCTTTTTGAAGACAGTTTAGACGGATAGAATGTTTTTGAATGCAGTTTAGACGGATAGAATGCATTTTGAAGGCAGTTTAGACGGATAGAATGCTTTTTGAAGACAGTTTAAACGGATATAATGCTTTTTGAAGACAGTTTAGACGGATATAATGTGTTTTGAAGACAGTTTAGAAGGATAGAATGCATTTTGAAGGCAGTTTAGATCAAGTAAGAATGTTTATTAAGTTTAGACCAAGTAAGAATGTTTTTAAAGGAAGTTCAGACCAAAATAGAATATTTTTAGGACAGTTTAGACCAAGAGATTAAATTAAAAATAAAATTATTCACTATTTTTTGTTCTTTCTAAACTATGAAAATATATCTAACCCTGAACAGAGAGAGATATATGAGGGCGTTGGAGAGAAGTCACCAGAGTGTGTGCTAGGAATATATAATGACCCACGTATAATATATAACTCCCCAAGAACGCGAGACACCCACACCGCACCACACAATAATCACGAGTCGTTTGTTTCTTAGCGCCCACAATCACCACAATCCACCGCGCGCCATCGACAAGTAACAATCAACATCCTCAATATGATTGGACGTAAAATTCTGTAAGTGAAATACCTGATAGGATGAAATATTCTCTAGTGAAATATCTGATCGGACGAAAATCAAGTGGAAATGAATATCAGTTAATGATTTTTGCCGATAATTAACTCACCATAAACGATATTCTGATGGCTACGGTATTTATATTTAAAGATACCGGTATTATGCTGCTTGGTATAGATCTACGGTATATAAACAAAGATGGTGATAAGAGAAAGATGAAGGGCATTACCGTATTGAAGAACTTTTAAAAAAAAAAAAAAAAGTAATTTGGAATATTTTTGAAAAGTTCTTATAAAGTTTAGGATATTAGGTTAGGTAAAGTGAGGCGTGGCGATGAACCTTGACGACGCTGTGTGGTGGCGGCGGCCGGTTGTGGTGCTCCACCCTAACACCACCACACCCACACCACAAACTCTTTTGGTAATAGAAACAAGGACATACAACAGTTCATATTAAAGTTAACAACGTCCGATACTGAAGCACCTGGCGTTATAGGTTAGGTTAGATGTCCGAGCGTAGAGTAAACCCGCGTAGAGTAAACCCACGAAGCCGAACCCGCTTACTGTACCAACCAGGCAGGTCATAACCACTAACTGTTATGATATCTGGGATAGATGGTCAGGAGGTGCCAGGTTAACAGCAGAGATTGGTCAGGGTAGAGGTCAACCCCAGGTCACCGTTGTCACTGGTTGTCCAGACTGTTTGACATATTAACGTTAAATGAGAAAAGAAAACTAGTCGAATCCCTGATCTTTTAAGCTACACTCTTGGGACTCTCGGAACTCTCTATTTCAGAGGTCCTACACACGTCAATTTACCCCTAGACTCTAATCAACATTCCATCTACTGTTTACTATCTCTTAATCTTTCTTGGTTATTATAATAAGGTTTACTGTATACCGCCTTCATGTCTATTAACAAAGACGAAATAATGATGTTCAAATAAATGTTAGAAGTGAGTTTATTAATGCTGGTTAAACTTATCGGGATCTCTTATTGTTTCAAACTCACAAAAATACATAGAGCTTTTCTTTTGTGTTTTTTGGTCTCAGCATGGCGGACCGGTTTAATGACGTCACGTGCTATTCCTCTTTTTGGGGGGGTTTAAAAATATTCTTGAGAGACGCACTTAAGCAACGACGTCAAGATAGCGGTTATAACAGCATCAAAAAGAGTTATGAGACTTACTTTACCGCGTGCGTCATCTACAGTTTGACGACCAAAGAATTTAAGATATGAAGGCTTGCGAATTCATACTAGTAACTAGCAGAGGGATAATGATAATGCACCGTGATATTTATAGCTTACTGCGGGTGTGTGAACGTTTGTCTGCCTCCCCCCAATCTTCCACACCGTTAGTTACTGTAGCCATTTCCCACACTACACAGGTCCGTCACCTTAGCGGGGCGCCCCGGCTGATAGAACCATCTCCAGAATTAAGTATATTCACTTTACAGCAACAAAAATCCCATGGAAATATTCACTTTATATGAACGGTTTCCTGTACGTAATTTGCAAGTTTTATTTTTTTATTTTTTTTACTTTCGGGTGTTAGTCGTGTGTGTGTGTGTGTGTGTGTTTGTGTGTGTGTGTGTGTGTGTGGTGTTATGTATTGTTCTTTAATTCCCCCAGGTGTTACGTTTTGGTTGTTACCGAGAAAGCTTTTTATACAGTTATTTAAATATAATGCTTTATTTCCCTTATCTACTATTGTATATCTTCTCTTTATTTTTAGGTATTCGGTAATAGTCAAAGATAATTATACACACAAAATCGTTACCACAACCCCACTCTTAGAAACATGACGTTACTAAACACAATCCTGACCGACTGTGTTATCTGGTCTCATGTCTATGTCATCGGTCAGGTTGGTTAAAAAAAATCTTAATTGACCAAAAATAATTATCTAGAAAAAGAAAAAAAAAACATTTGAGTGGAATTCTGATTATATCTGGTTCAGGTCTATCCCCTTAAGGTTATACAGTAGCTCGGGCTAGGGAAGGAGTAGGGCTAGGCTAGGCTGGGATAGAATGTGAAGACGAGCCGCGTTTCACCTGGCGGGACTCTCTAATTAACTTACCCGTGGAGAGAGAGAACCGACTTCCGTTTTGACAAAAAAAAAACTTAAGTCCTGATTTTCTCCATAGATGACATATATAGATAGATTAAATAAATATAAAACTCATCAGAGCTATTTGAAGTGATGGCTAATTTCATTAAGCTACAGTCTGTTATGTCTCCTGGTTATTATGAAAAACAACCTAACACAGTGTACAGTAGACGGCAATAGTGAAGCGTCCCCAACGTCTGACACGCAAACCTGAAATTTAAGCTCCAGTTTGTTTACAGTTTTTAGAGGAAGGTGAAGAAATGCGAGCCAGCAGCGTACACGGTAGTGATGAGGGTCCATCTGTATGACACGCAACGTCCAGACAAACACATACGCAACATCTCCACTCGCTACAGTCTTGGAATGGTGTCAAGAGAAATACACAACCAAGCCAAGTCCTTTAGTGATGATGACATGTAGCACGCGAGAAGGCCATAACAGGGAGAACACATTACCTGACTGAACAACTTTACTTCTTCATCACACCTCACACACATGCGCGCAGAAAAGTAGCGCACACTTCCTCGCAACATCTTTTTCTCTCGGTGATTCTTGTGAAAAACTAAAGTGACTAGTGCAAGTGTTAGATGTCACACAGAGTTGAGACATTTGTGAATATCATTTTTGTGCTGAATAATAACAGATATCGATAGAAAATGTGAAAATATTGAGTCACTACGTGTTATTTCCACTTGCTGAATATTGTGTCAGATTTCACCAAACGTCGAGGGAAAGTTGTCTCTATAGTGATTGTTGTTGACTTGATTTGTGGTGAAAATAACAGAGATTAATATAAAAATAGGTCGTAAATATTCGCTCACATTCACTGTTATGATAACCCTACAGTCGTTCGTGAACATTACTAAATTTCAAGAGAGATATCAGTTTTTTTTCAGCTGATGGCCATTTTATAAGCAACTTAATGTTTTTTTCTAGTCACAACAACCATCGACCCACCTTTTTCCAATTAGACGCGTCCTCACATCTCCAAAAGGACAAGGAGGGCATTGAGTATACCAGCCTCTGAGAACCTCTGTCAGGCCTAAGGATGAGACGGTCACCCTCCACCACACTAGTTAATTATAGCTAAAAAATAATAGTGGTCAAAACTGGTCAAACATGTCCTTAGAACACCGCCTTGACCATACATCTACGGAGCACCCAGCAGCCACACTGTGATTGGTTGAAATGTGTGACGTTATGATATCAAAATATAAACTCGGGATTCTTACGACTTAAAGGTTAGAGTTAATTAAGGTTCGTGTACACTGCTTTAGAAACAATGATAACGTCACCAGCTGCGACCAATCACAGCCCGACTCACCAAGCGCCCTCAACCCAGGGACGAGTGAGGCAATGAGAAAAACACACACACACACACACTGGTATGCAAGACAAAAGACAAGAGTTTCCCATTGTTCTGTGTTAAGAATGATTGACTAACACCACTTCAATGTAGACGAGAGCAATTGAGTTTACAGGTTATTGAGTAAGTGTCTGTCTACCTAAATGGTGGTATTTATAAACTAATAGACGGGGTGAATTAATATGAAGTGCGTGGGTGTGGTGATGGAAGGTGGAGATGAGGGAGGGTGGGTGGGGTGAGGGAGGGAGAGGAAGGAGTGATGGTAGGATAGCCATAAGCGAGGACACAGGGTTGGGGAGGGAGGGGAGGAGAGGGCCTGGTTATAGGCAACGTCCACACGCCTCCCTACAACCACGCCTCCCCACAACCACGCTTCCCCTTCCCTAACAACAACACTATACCACTCCTACCTCCCAACAACAACACACCCACAAGCACTATACAACTCTCCTAACAACTATGCCCCCTTAAGACCTATTACAACTCGCACGACACAATCCCAGACCCAACACTCGACCCACGCCACCTTGAAGCTTCACCGAGCAACAGTTTCCACAGAGATGAACCCATGCGAGGTGAAGAAATAGCCTCCACTAATAAGTACAGTATCCTCGATGGTCAAGATGGCGCCACTCCATTAGAGGGGGACGACAAACTGACCCACGATGGAGCAGGGAGTGTGAGGAAGGAGCAGGGAGTGTGAGGGAGGTAACAGGGAGTGTGAGGGAGGAGCAGGGAGTGTGAGGGAGGTAACAGGGAGTGTGAGGGAGGAGCAGGGAGTGAGGGAGGTAACAGGGAGTGTGAGGAAGGAGCAGGGAGTGATAGAGGGAGCAGAGAGTGTGAGGAAGGAGCAGGGAGTGTGAGGGAGGTAACAGGGAGTGTGAGGGAGGTAACAGGGAGTGTGAGGAGGAAGCAGGGAGTGTGAGGAAGGTAGCAAGGAACATTATATCACAATGTGGAGGCGTACAATTAATAGGCATGTATACACGTCTACGAGGACAAATTAGCTTACGTATATAAACTAAAAGAAGGACTTGAGAAGGAGAAGGAAGCACAAAGAGAAGGACAAGGAGAATTACAAAGAAGAAGAGGAGGAAGAGTAGAAGTTAAGTCCACACACTATACACAAAAAAAAAATCTTATTCACTAACGTTCAACAAATATTTCCTGTCATAAAGTGATCACTATTTACATAATCCCTAAAGCGGTTGAGAGTCGATCTACGCCCAACTTACATTCACCATCCTCAAGGTTTCATCAAATTCCTCCATATTTTGATTTTTTTTGTCTCCCGAAGGATAATTCTAGGGGCGTTTTTGTAACTTAGACACCACCCTATGCGTCTCCTTGTCCTATGTTGTCTCTATGTCTCTCTACCCTATGTTGTCTCTATGTCTCTCTTTAATCCATGTTGTGTCTCTAACCCATGCTGTGTCTGCCTCTCATTGTGTTTCTCCAATCACGTTACCCTCCATCACCAAGAATCTGTACACGTGAAGTCAATAAGAAACAATAACGAGAATGACCAGCTCTCGACCAAACCGGAACTAGAACATAAGGTTACAAACAGATACTGATGATAATTATGATATTGGAAATGTCAATTGAAATTACACCTTTAATCCATTTAAATATTAATAACAATAATAATAACACTAATAATAATAATAGCTCCATAAACAGCTTCAAGTATTTCTTATAACGGGGTTAATCAAGCAGCCTTAACTTAGGTAGTCTCTTTGTAATTTCGATGCCGTTTTGTCAGCATCCAAATGTCGCATCCCAAGTGAGGCAAATGCGTCTTCACATCAGCAGCCAGGAGGAAAACTTACCGTGCGAGCCTGAGAGTCCTATTTACGTAGATCATTTCCTGGAGACTCATTGAAATTACCGACTTGGCCTAGATTAGAGGAAGTAGTGGTGGAAGAGGTAGTGGTAGCTAGTGGCAGGGGAAATGAGTGCGTGTGGTGGTTAGTGGCTGTTCGTAGTAGTGGTGGAGGTCAGAGGCAATGAGTGACGGTAGCTGTACTGTGCTGGAAGTTAATAGTGCTGCCAGGAGAAGTTGTGGTAGAGGCTGTAGACGAGACGGCCGCCACCTGCCTACTTAACCTATCATGATGGCCTAGACCTAGAGACGTGTTTTATATTCTGCCTCACTTAATCAGTTGTAGTTTTTTTTTTCTTGTCTACAATATAAATTTCTCAGACGACCAAGAAATATAACAGATGAGAAATTTTGTCATGGACGATACAGTTTGACTAGTTACCTGTTATATTCTCAGTGGTAAAAAAACGCGTCATTTTGTCTTATATTTTGTTAAAGAAAACATATATTTTACCTCCCTATTCTTAACTATGTAGGGGTCTACTTTCTTATCATATCCTTACTTACAAGACAGTTTTTTGAAGTCAGAATCGTGTTTGTAAAGTATGATTATATTGTTGTTCATAATTATGTAAGCATTTTACATAACAACGACTACAAGCAAAGAAACGTTAGAAAAATATTAGTACATGGATGGACCCAAAAATCAGTGTCCCAACTACTCAATATCTTTACGTTGAGAGAAAATTATATGGGATAAATTTCAACGTTTAAATGTCCGTGTACAGGCTCAAAATTAAGCACGGACACACTATAAACCTCTCCTGTACATTAATTCTAAAAACACACATACAGTAAACTTCTCCTGTACACAAACAGTATGGTGTTAACTCTAAACTGCAATGTGACTCCTTACTCCTTCGAAACTGTGACGTGACCGCGTGTGTTGGGGAAGGAAATACCTACGTGTTTTCTCGGACTGCAACATGGGTGATTTAGTGTACACAAATACACACAAGCGTACTATAACATAAAGTACCTAGGAAGTGATGGAGTGCACACAAGGTTCTGGGAAAGGCTGGGAGGAATATCTGGGAGGGAGGTTGAATATCTGGGAGAGGCTGGGAAGGAGATTGGGCATCTGGGAGAGGCTGAGAAAGAGGTTCAGTGTCTGGGAGGGAGGTTGAGTTATGTGGGCCACAGCTCCACACGTCGACATGCTCACCTCAATATCAATGCGGTCCACGTTGATGTACTGCCAGTTATCTGTGCCGAAGGCGATGGCGAGCAGCGCCACCGACACTACGGCACATATCGTCGCTAAGGAAAGCGTTATGGCCGAACAAGGCATTATTATTTTCAATCGAACGTTTATGAAAAAAAAGATAACTGAATTAAAAATCACCAAGGAGCGTCCCCACCCTCACTGCACAACCACACACAGGGAACTGACTCAAACAGTCGGACTGCCTTGCGAGTTGTGAACCAGCCGCACCTGTCCGCCAGAGGCTGAGCTATGAAAGGATGGTTGGGAACTTAACGCATCTATTTCTTCTTGCCTCGTGTCTCGAGATAATACATTTGGACTTTGCATTGTTCATTATTTTGGAATAATGTCTTCCAATACGAATCATCTATTCATTCTATCGTTTTACGGGTTTTCATTAAATTTCTTAGCATATCTTGGAGACAACTCCCTCCGTCCTGCACAGCTCATAACCCTCGGCCTGAGGCGACTGACCAAAACATTCTTCAGATGTGAACAATCTCAAAGAAAACGGGATGTAACTTTTATCAGGAACTTTTATATTTGTAGATGTAAACAACTGGACTTCTTTCCGCTACTGACTATGATCAAACAATCTTATGCATGTTGAGTCATTCTTCCTTCGTTTTTCCATCAGTCAACAGAAAGAGCTGAATGCACAGGCGTAGAGCTTTCGTCCAGAACACAAGTAAGCTAAGTAAAAAATTTTGATGTTTAATCAGTTTAAAACCATCATACAAATTCACACTGATTCAACACACTCACACACACACACAATGCAGGCATACAACAGCAATCAACACCATTTCCTTTCAAACCAAGACAAATCTAATAAGAATGCATTTATACATTTATTTCCTCTTGGGGGGTTTACACTTCAATTGTAAAAAATATTCCTTCACGTATTATGGAGTTGTGAGTCTTCTTAACAACCTTTCATTCAGTTTTGTTAATCCAGGAACCTGCCAGGAACTTTAAGACATTATGAGATGTACACATGAGAGATGCCGTGGTAGACCAGGAAGCTACCTTTGTAAACTTAATTTATGTACTAATATGAGTTTTTATTTTCCTACTAAGTCAGTAGTTTAACAGAGATTTCGGTAAATATTTAGAAGTTGCCAACACCTATTTATATATTGAGTCTTATATAGAAAGAAAGAGAAAAACTAAAAATAGTTTATTCTGACGTGTTTTCGTCGGAAATGTTTATTTTTCGAGTATTTTATCCGATATAATTCCAAGCAGTATTACTTGTTAAAAGTGGGCAGAGCTTTGAGATAGAGGTTAAATGCGAGGTAATAAAAAACACTAAACAAACCTTTGAAAACCTGACTTCACGTTTCCTAACCTTTAAGAATCCAAGACTAAAAAGTTTATCTTCTTCATGTTTTCGGTGTTTAGTATATGAGGTATTATTTTTTTGTTTTTAGTATGTGTTGGTGTTGTTTTCGGTGTTTAGTTGAGGAGGAAGTGATTCTTAAACATTCTTACAGGTTATGAAACGTCAGGTTTACAAAGGTTTGATTGGTGGTTCTGTTTAAGTATTTTTACCCCACATTTTCCCTCTACTTCAAAGCCCTGCCTACTTTGAACAACTAGTATAGTGGGTAATTTTATCAGTTAAAATACTCTTAAAATATAAATTGCCAACGGAAACATTATAGAATCAATTATTTTGATCTATTTTTTCTCTTGCTCCCTATATATGACTCAATATAGAAGTAGGTGTTGGCAACTTCTTAATATTAACCGAGATTTCTTTAATAAAAAGGCGGTGTGTCGGCAATATATAAAAATGCACAGATATAAAAAATACAGAAGCCTAATAATTTTCAGTTAAACTCCAAATTTTCTTATTCTGTAAGAATTAAAAACTTTCTAAACAAATACTGTACAGAGTACCTATAAAAAGTTGTCAGGGAAACGTCCTTCTTGTTGTCAGATTTGATTGTAGTAAATAGGTGGATACCTAAGTAACCTTTTTTTAAGTAACTAAATTTTAACATTAATACTTAACTATACAGTGTACTGTATATGTAAATTATGAACCAAATTTATTCTGTTTTATGGCGTATAAATCTTTATTGAAGCAGTGCGTGGTGATTAATCCATACCTGTCACAAGCGGGATACCAGAGGGTAGTGTATTGGGCCCACTGGTGTTTGTTTGTTTCATAAATGACATGCTTGATGTTGTACACTCCTCCATACAAATGTTTGCGGATGACGCCAAATTATTTCAGAAAATCAAGAACCTAGTGGACTGTGAAGAACTGCAGAAGGATCTCTGTGAGCTCCAAGAATGGTCAAAGAAATGGCTGCTCAGATTCAATGTCACGAAGTGTAAGAGGATCCACCTGAGGCAAACCAACTATAAGGAGGCGTATCATATGTCCCAACGGGATGGAGAAACTGCACTATTTGAGACAATGTGAGAAGAACCTAGGTGTGTATGTTGACAATGAACTGAAGTTCTCAGGCCATTGCGAGAAGGTAAATCAGGCAAATAAATTATTAGGTCTTATACGAAGGTCGTTCAGAAATCTAGACGGTCCGTCCCTCGTAACGATCTTCAAGAGTGAAGTGCTTCCCCGTCTGGAGTACTGTCACCCCGTCTGGTCCCCGAGATATGCTAGGGACTCTCAGTTGGTTGAAAATGTTCAAAGGAGGGCCACCAGACTGGTGCTTACACTCTGGCACCTCAACTACCCCGAGAGATTGGAGCGCCTGAACTTGCCTAGCTTATACTACAGACGGGCAAGGGGCGACCTAATTGAGGTGTATAAGCATCTCAAGGGGCACTACTCAGTCGAGTGTCCTTACCTGGAGCTGGCGGACGCTCACCCCACAAGGGGTCACAGCTCAAGATTGAAGAAGTCGCAGGTCCAGAAAACTGTGAGGGCAAACCTTTTCGGAGTGAGAGTTGTGAACTCTTGGAACAATCTGCCAGAAAGTGTTGTGATGGCACCGAGTGTGAGCTCTTTCAAGACAAGACTTGACCAACACTGGAGCAGGTTCAGGTACATTCAGGAGCCGGTGCATGCCCGGTACTTGCAAACAATGCGTAACAGAGACGTGACCGATTGCCCAAGCGGTTAACAAACCGATCAGCTTGAAGAGGATAAAAGAAAAATACACATAACCTGTATTGTATTGAGGTTAGAGAATTCTTGTGTGATTGTGATTCTAATCATTATATTGAACTCAAAACATAAAGAGAGAGAGAGAGAATGTGTACAACACAGTACAATATACAGTTAGTGTATTGTGTATCTGTTCCCTGGACTATGAGAAAACTTAAAGGAGACATACCTGTATTTGAAAACCACATATATGTACATTTAAATAGTTTAATAAGTTTAAACATGACTATTTATAACATTACACAACAGTTTCTGTGATATATTAAAGTATTAGAGCATACAACTAGTAAAAAATAATTTATCAATTAACTAACAAAAATATTTTCCAATTAAAATTAATGATGCAGTACAGCTTGTCCAGCAGAGTATTAATGTAATGAAATAGTTTTTTATAATACAAAAATATATATAAATTTTATCAAGACTTTCTGTCAAGTAAAAAAAATCATTGGAAGCATAAAGTCAGGCACGATTATTAAGGCATATATATTGGTTCACAAGACCTGGAGTATAATAACAAGAAGGAACTACACACAACTAACTATTAATGCACATCTAAAAGTCCCATAAAGATTTGTTTCAGTGTAAAACATTTTCACTCGTAGATGCACAGGATCCTAAAAATGAACTGACATGGTTTATATCATCTCAGAGTCTAGAGTTTGAAAATTCCACTTAGTTAAAATTAAACAAAGAGAATTTGGTTTCATCACAACATAAGGCTAGTACAGTTTGATGACGGCTGGGTTATATGATGATACATTTCTCCATAAATAAATCTAATACAGATAGTACTGTATAATGTGTCACACAGTTGAAGAGGTACACACAATGTCCTGAGTATACATATCTATCCCGCACAAGAGAAATATATCTATATGTCTTTAATTTACAATAAAATTTCCTAATTATATATTCTTCAAACATATTTCTATGACATCCTCCATTTCTTAAGATTTAGTCACATTTTTCAGTTTCAACGTAAACTGATAATTCTCACCCCATAGGTTTATATTCTTTGTTTGTACTATATAAAAAACAATATACACATGCTACGTTTTCACATTAAGGCTGAAGATTAAATATGTAGACGGCTTCTAAAAATACGAGCTACTTTACCTGCCCTGTCTCTTTTTATACTTGTCTAGCTCTTCACTCCCCTATAACTTCCCCCTTTCTATGAGGTTTCTGTTCTCTTTGACCCATTTCACATGAAGATGGAGGAGGAATAAAGGTAACAGATGCAATAATCTAAATATGTCTTCACCAAGTTTTTCCTTATTGGCTTACCAGTGATGGGCTCTTTCAACATTCTCTGGTTTATCTTTTGCTACATTTGTTACAGTGAGCCATTAAATTGCATTGAAGAAAGCAGAGTACTTTGTATATCTCTTATAAGATTAATAAATATAATTATCAACTTGTTATATGACTCACAGCTTATGTATAAAAATCACAAAAATAGAAGTACAGGAAAAATTGAGAGATTAACTTTTGGTGAGTAAATGAAAAATTCTATCACAGGAATTTTGAACAATTTGTAAGAGGAAAATATAAGTTAGCCTCAGGTATCAATGGAAGACCTAACATGAGAGTATAACCAATATTGGAACTGAGCTGGTATGACTCAAGGCACTGGCCACCCTTCCATTGGAGGATTTTTATTTCTGCATCATGCTGTACATAACACAACTCGGAGCTCTGCTCTCCAATCTCAAATCCTTACTTATCTTCATTTTCCCAAATTCTTTGCTAATATTTCTCACTTTTTTATTCATCTTTCTCTCTTAATTCTCATGTATATTTACTGAAGAAACATCCAATTTGTTCTCATATCTTGTGATAAATATGAGGCAATAGCTCCATTTTCACAATTATTGGTACAGGTATAGTATAGTACTGTACTGCCATATAGAACTGCTCAGCACAGGATAAGAGAAGTACTGGTGGGTCTGAATAGTGTGCAGGTAACTACCATCTGATATAATGGGGGAAAAGTCTATTTGTATAAACCTCCTACACATAGATATATAACCTGGAGAAATTTAGTGAAAAGTGACTAGATTTGGTTGAGATTCTATGGCTATTAACATAAAAGCTTAATTCACATAAAGTAAACAGTTATTAAGTTCACATGGGATATTTAACTTCACTTATGTTAAGATCATCGTCAGAGTCCCAAGAGCTTATCACTTCTTTCCTGCTGCTCGTGATAACTTTGGGTTGTCTCTGGGAAATTACGTCAACTGCATCTACAGACCCCCACAGACTAGTTCCGACAGTATTGGAAGAGTCACTCACACTTTGTAGATTCTGCTGACTTCCATAAGAGTTTTGATTAATTCTAGAATATTCTAAACCTCCAGGACTATCTGGACTAGTACCAGGTAGAGCAGTGCTACTCATGACATCCACTGCTCCTGCAAGTTGGGATTTCTTGCGGCCACTCAACTGAAGTTCAATGGATCGTGTGAGGTTAGACACCAATTGTCCAGATGGTTTTTTAAGTTTAATTGTTTGAGATTCATCCAAGTCCCAGCTGTTGACTGTACTGTTGTGTAAATTAGCCGATATTACCGAGGTGTTCAAACTGTCAGTTCTTTTTGGCGGAGGTTCCTTTTTAAAGTTTTCATACTCGGGTTCAGAGTCCCATTCAGATCCACTTATATCCTCAACTTCTCCATAGGTTTTGTTATCGAAATAGTTACCCTGTTTTGGTCGTGTTCCTGATCCTGCTCCTAAGGGTTTATCCTCAAACAAGTTCCTGGATACAGATTTTGAGGTCTCATTGTGAATTTCTATCTGAGCATTACTCGAGTCTTTTGATTCACTCTCTGTTGTGCTATCATCGTCTTCAGCTTCAGTCTTTTCTCCCTGGTTATCAGAGACTATGCTCGTTCCAGAAATGACCTTGACATCATCATTTGATTTAGGATTAGTGTGAAATATATCTTTAACACCAGATTTCACAGACTCACTAGTTTTTGACATTGAAGAGGAAAAAGCTCGTGATTGCTCTTTAACTTTTGACTGAACATTTTTTACCATTCTTGAGAGCATACCAGACTGTTTTTCTTTACTTTCACTTTTAATTGTTTCTGACAGTGGCTGAATTCCAGATACATCTTCAACATTATCAATCTTGTCGTCAACCTTTGCTCTAACTTCATTCTCTAATCTTTTCCTTAAATCCAGGAAATGATCATACTTTTCCTCGTACTTTCTCCGTTCCTTCCTCAGACGAGATAAGCAAGAAGTCAAAACATCTGTCTTGATGCCACGTGTTGATTGATCTAACCCAAGAGATGACAGTTTAAGAGCAAGAACACCTGATGTTGCCTCCCGCATTTGATTCCATAAATGTGGATTACTTCTCAACAGGTTATCTAGATTTATAGAATCGGATGATACATCATCTTCAGAGTAACTCTTGTCATCTTCACAAGATTCAGAAGAAGACTGTTCAGATTTTAAGTCACCTTCCTTCTGATTATTTGGTTTTGGATCTTCATCTTCCCCTTCTGTACTTGAGCTACTAATGTTAAGCGGTTTCACCTTCAGGTTATTTTGATTCCATCGTGACGTCTCTGTTTCACTGTCTGATTCTAACTCACTCTCTGAATCTTCAGTATCCATTCGCTGCAGATACGGCTCAATTTTAGTTTTAGTACGAGTCAATGTGGGTGAATCCTCAAGCTGATTTTGAGTCATGGTTGATGGCTTGGTAGCTCTGTTTGGTGTTGGTGGTTTTTTAATAGTTGGGGTTTTGGGAGAAGGTGGAGGCTTCTGAGATACAACAGCCACTGCAGCTTCTTTGTGAGCTATGTCCTTCATCATCTCTCTTAGTTTGACCTTTTCAGATTCAAGGGCTGCCCCATAATCCTTCTGCAATGATGCCTGCAACTCTTTCAAAGAATGCTTGTGACTTCTCCTCTGCTCACCTAACTGTCTCTTGAGAGCCTGTATTTCCTCTGATAGTCCATCCACAGCATCTGTACTTCTTATTTCCTCAACTCTATCATTCTTGGCTTGACGTTGGATCTGTGCTTGAAGAAAGGTAATTTCTTCCTCTTGCTTTTTTATAAGTTCTACAAATCTCTCACCATCAAATGAAGTTTTATCGCTACCAACAGTTTTAAGCTGAGAGATCTGTTCACTGAGTTTCTCTAGCTGGGTTTCATAGCTTCTCTCCATGTGTTTCTTTTCCTCCCAAGCTTTCTTTACTTCTTCTCGTCTTTTCTCATTTTCTACTTCTAAAGAACCCTTCTGCTCCTCCATTTCTCTCAGTATCCTCATAAAATTTTCATTCATCATATTGAATTTTTTCTCAATTTCACATAATCTAAATGAATCAACATCATTGACATTTGAATATGCTGTAGCATGTGTAGACTGAGGGGAGGACACATTATTTAGGGGTAACTCTTGGTGTTTAGTTTCTGAAGCTACAGGCGGAGCCTCACATGGGCCTGATACAGTTGAGGGCACCTGGAAAACCTGTGGGAGGGTCACAGAGCTGGCTTGATTTGGGTGTTTCCGCCACAAGTGAGACTGAAGGAAGTCTTGGCCCCGAAAAGCTTTAGGGCACAAGGGGCACTTGAGAGACTGGAATATTCCATTAGCAAGTGCATAAGAGTTAATACACTTGACAGTTTCACGCATACTTCTGTTTGTTATCTTCATTTTCTTGGCTTCTTCAACCTGCTGCAGTAATTTTGCTTTCACCTGCAGAGAAAAGAAAATGATTAGCCTATCTTGGATTGTATTTTGTAATTTCTTTGAAAAACTCAGAGATGGAGAGGTGTGGTGTGGAAACCTGGGTTGTTATAACACCTGAAGACAATGGAAGATAAAGTATGGAAAGCACGGAAAATGGACATAAAATTATGATGATTATGAAGACAGTTAAATCACAGGATATCATCAACCAAACCGTGGGACAAGAAACTCCACCAAATCATGTACTGCACCATAGTTTTGGTTTGTGATAGAAAAAAGGGCTAATAAATCAAGACTGAGTCCTGGGTGATGAAAAATACCAAATCATTTTACGTATATAGAATGTTAGCAAAGTCTTCAAGGTAGGAGGAAATGGTGAATACAAGATTATGTAATATTAATACAGTACAGTATTGTGTAGAGTATATTTAAAAGATCTATATCACACTATTATACAGGAAGAAAAAATATTTACCTCCTGATATTTTTCTGTAAGTTGCAAAACCTCTTCTTGGGATTGTTGAAGTTGAGTTTCTATAAATTCCTGAGAGAGAAAAAGGTACTGAATTATGAGCTGGGCCAAGCGGAACATCTTGAGAAGGCTGCGTTGGCCTCCAGTAGTTCCAACATCAAACTCTGCCTCAGCGTCACAGAAAGTAACGTGTGATAAATTGTCTTGCAGAACCTCCATGCTGCATCCTGATGACAATTCATGAAGGTCTATTGAAGCTAGTTTGTGCCAGTCCACCCTCTCACGCCGCTGGGAGGGGAACTCTACAGCAGAAGGCAAGGCTGCAGCCCCACCGGGTGATATTGCCCCAAATGTTGTCCTCATTGTTAATGACTTGAGATGGTTCTCTAAGATGAATATGCCTCAGACATCATCTGGAAGAGAATACAGTACAGTACAGTAGAAGATATTTAAACAATTAAGCCCTTTTACATATTTTCTTCCTAAGGTATTTGATTAAAAAAGAGAATTTTACCATCAAGATCTGTCCTAAAATTAACTGTCCACTTGAAAATTACAAAATACTTTTCATTCATTTATGCTATGGTTCCAACAGCTGTCATGTATAGTACAGTTCATATTACACAATCACCCAAATCAAAGATGTTACAATTTCCAGAAATTTCAATCAGAAAGTGGTATCTGGAAACGACCAGACACGCTGTATTTTTGCTTTTATTTTTTTTATTTTGGAGTGGATCATAATTTTGTAAAATAGCAACAGAAATTAAATAATAAATGCTTAAACAGTTTTTCGTAAGGATAGTGTAAGAACAAATAATGTAGTTAAAATTTTAGCAAACATATAGTATTTTGAAACGAAATAATGATATACAGTAGAGTGCCAGATTATCGATCAGGGACATTCAGGAATAATTTGTGGAGATCTGTTTAACCTTAGCTAACCTGATCTTAAATAATGTACTATACAGTACTTCCATCTTAAGACAGGTATGGTAAGTTGGTTTGTCTTATCTCCGGTAATTCATACACAGTAATGTGGTAATTGCTGGAAGTATATTTGTGTCCGGAACAGCTGCAAGAAATGGTTTTTATATACACACTCAAAATGTTTTCAACGGGATGCTGCGTGTAGACATAAAATTAGTGTTCAAGATGAAAAAGTTCCCCAAATTAAAGGTAAAGGTGAAGAGAACAGTTAACACCCGAACGCCTTAAAATATCTCATTCAAATTTTCCACTATTTGTTTTGTTAATGATACCGAGTAATAAAATATAAACGACAATATTTTACTATTTTTTTTTCTTTTTAGCCCGTCACTTGATCATAAGCTACATGTTAGTGGGTACAGCATAATGGGGGTAGACATGGCAGATAATTCACATCTCTACAGGCTTTGTAGGCGAAGAAATAAATTATTTACCGGTACCGTAATTATGGCGCTGTCGAATCTCCCGTGGCGACCAAGTTTTGGTTCACGTCTACTACACAGGAGTGTCGGCGATCTTCGTTTATCTGTCAGGAAACAAGTGAGAGTCTCAATGGGTGTGTTTAATTAATATATATATTGGATTACATTCGCTACCACCAGAAAATTTTACGTATTTATTTATTAATTTTTCACTATATGTTCTAATCATTATGGTATTTTAAAAGAGGTGACTTTACTAGGCCATAATAGAACCTGACCTAACCAACCAAAGAGACCTACCTAACCTTACCTACCTAACCTTACCTACCTTCCTGAGGACACCCCCGCCATATTAAACAGAAAGTACTTATTTTGATATCTGGTACCAATGAAAGAAAATTTGTTGAAGAAGGTTCTAATAGTTCTATGCATTGTCGTTTCGATTTTCTTAGCATCACCCAAACAACATCTGTAAATTTGGTAGAATTCCATGAAGTACTTGTGGTGCTAAGTGTCTCCACCATTACCAAATGAAAAAAAAATTACAGTTCCACATCACCTGTTACAATTTTCCTACCTAACCTAACCAAGTGACCTTACATGATACACGTATATTATGCTGTAAGTTTAAGAGTACACGATCTGGGTCTTGAGCTAACTAATGACCATTAATACTTCTTCCTCCTCAAAAAGAGTAAAAAGTGAATATACAATGATAACGGAGTGTTATCAAGAAGGTGAATATACTCACTGGACTGTAAATTCAACGTGTTGTTATAGTTCTACAGGACAAATGATGATGATGATGTTGAAACATTTTGAAAATCACGACATAATGGCATACACTACCACCAAGCTAGTGGTTGTTGAGAATATACCACGAACATCACCACTAACGCACTATTTTATTTTCAAAGCACATAGACCAAATATAACCTAATTGAAACTACATTAGATGGAATATATTATTTAATCGTACCTTATATTAGGGTTGTTTGCTTTGATTAAAAAGGGGAATTAATTTTAAGATTTAGTGCGTGGTACTTCCTTAACATAAACTATCTATCTTTGTTTGTATTTATAAAGTTTGGAATCCATGGCGACCAGTCACCACACCTTTGATAAGTGAACCTTTTTATATTATTTTATCAGATAATCGAAAATAATATATATATAGTGCCAATGTAAGCTTGTATGACGAATTTAATTAGTATCTACAGTTTATGAGCACTTTTGAAATGTAAAATATTATATTTATTATATCTTAAGGCAGCAATATCTAACCTAACCTAACTTAACCTAACATATTTTGCACTTTAACTCGGGGAATTTTGTCGTAATTTACACTTTAACTGATGAGTTTTTGTTCAGGGGTCTTTCTTCCTAGGGGGATTTTTTCGGAGTCATGACGTCACGAACGGTTGAATCCCGAACGCAGTTGAGAATCCGGATTACTGTATTTGTCAACACCAGTCATGACAGCCTCCAGCCGCCCCTACTGAGTCAACTGAAGGTGGAACTGAATTTACTCACTGCCAGGAGACTAAAACACAGACGTACACCTAACAGCTATTTAATGGAAGGTAAGTGTCAGGCTGTCAAATGCTAAGATTAAGGCTATTATTGACCTCCTTCAGTGTGGACCCAACTGACTGACGGGATAATATGGGAAATATCTTTATAACTTTAAAATCAAGGGAGGGGACCTATCTTTATCAGTTAGAATTTGTTTATATTTTAACGACAGACGTCCGGTTAACTAGTTACTGAAGAAAAAATATCTATTAGAAAATTTATATCTTGCCTCATGAATAAACCAAATTTGATGGATAAATTGTACTTCTAGTTGGTTATAGTCCAGACCAGTTGTATGCCTTAAATATCTACTGTACAAAATTTCACCAAAGAATATAGTTGCTTTCTTCTTGAAATAGATGACAAATGCATGAGCAGCAGCTAACCCACGCAAGCATGGTAAAGTACCGTAAAGCGTTGATTGTGATGTTTAAATGTCTTCAATGTGATGTCAGTCTCGTTAATTTTTTTTCACATTGTGGGGAGAGGGGGGGGAGGAAGATTAAATTTTATCAAAGTAATATACGTACTGTATATATTTTTTCATGTTTTGTAAATGTTTGTTTCTCATATTACAGAGTTTGGGTTGGTGTACTACACACTGGTGGTGCCTCTATCACTGCCAGTTATCCTCCTCCTGCTCTACATGAGATGGCTTGGCTGGGAGTTATATACAAACAACTAGAAAATTAATGGATACTTTTGTGACATGGCAATAAACTTTGTGGATTTTCTGATGTGTTTCAGCTCAAAGGCATAGACATGAATACAGTATAACACAATTTTATTTTATTGCTCAATGAAGATTTAAAGACTTACTTAGTCCAAGAATCACGTATTTACATACATTGGCCGCTTTGTGTGATCTCTGGTAGTAATGGCGGACCACATAACAGCATCAGCCCTTGACAAAAATGCAACAATAGCAAGTGTGACACTGGCCCATGGTCAGCCGGTGCCTCTGGCTTTTGAACGTTTATCACTTCCTAAAGTAAGGCTTCATAAGACTATTGCTAGAAGATCTGTCCATATTCCTTTGTCTACTACTTCACTGCCAGAAGGCTTGGATAATATTGAATCACCAGTGGCCACGCTCGTCTCGACAAATAATTGTCATGTGTCTCCGATATCAACCCATGTAAATAACTTAGTAATAAAAGGAAAGTGTGAGTCATCTGGACATTCTCCTGAATGTAGAGTACCAGGTAGAACTGCAGGTGAAGGTGGATGCCTTCAAGGGAACCTGAACCATTCCTCTCACACTCCTGAAGGGTCTGTTAATGAGACCTCAAGTGTATTAACCTCAATTACCAGCAGTGGCAGGGTAGAGTCTAATGCCATTGTCCTTGGTGAAGACATGGCAGGTTGTGTGGTGGTAGATCTGCAATGTAACATGGTAGTTCAGGAACATCCAACAGTTCAGGCTCCTCCAGAACCATACCTAGTAGATGAACAACTTCTCGTTCAGGTCACTCAGGAGCAGGAACCAGGACACACACAAACCAGTGAACCAACAAACAATTCAATAATATATGATGGAGGTGCTGCCTATGTGAAAGAACCTAAAGATAAATCTATATTTGATGTTGCCAAGAAAAATTCGTCGAGAAGGCTTGAAGAAAAAAAATGTGAGAGTAAAGTAAATGGTAAATGTAGTGATGGGGTGAAAACTCAGTCAAATTTTGAATCAAGATGGAATTTTCGTGAAGTTCTTGTGAAATCAGAGTGTCCCTTGATTACTGAAGCATCACAAGATGCCATTACTCAAAAAGACGAAAGTGAAACAGAAGATTTTGCCAGGCCAAGAAGGAAATCGGCCAAAAAAGCAAGACTAAGATGGAAGAATATTCATGATGTTGATAATATTGGGAAAATTAGCATAAAGAGGCCAAGACACTCACATTTCCTCCCAAGAGAAAAACACGTAAATAAAATAGAAAACCCCTTGGTAAGTTGTATGGTAATGAAAAGCTTAATATTTTCCCTTGATCTTTACTTTCATTATTCATAGTATAGTAGTGGTTAGACAATTTGTATATCACTCAGTATACAGTTCAGTCTTCTGTCCATCAACAGTAGACAAACAAACCTTTATATTCAGTTATTGTTATTCTTATATATGTTATGTACTAACACATTTTTCTTCATTTTTTAACTATTGTACATACTGTATAGAATTCACTCCCATCAATACTCCGCCGTGCTTTCAATCACTCGTGTCTTCATTTTTACTCATTCTTGCCTTTCCCTATTTACCCAAAGTCTTATCTATTTCCCTGTCTCCCTTTTATATTTCCCAGACCTATCACACTGTTTCCCTTATTAGTTTTCATTAGTGTCTCTCTCTCTCTCTCTCTGGTGGTAGGCATTTACAGTAACCCCTCACTCATACACATCTTTTAACCTAACAGAATATGTAGTCCTTTATACAGTTCCACATTTTATCACTCGGCAGAAAACCCACACCTTAAACTCTTATTCTTTCAGACACTCCTAATTATACCTCTCATGTGCATCCCACTCATCACTTCTTTGTCTTTCAGTGTTGTTGAAGGTCCTTTTTATTATTTCTTTTTATATCTAACAATGAGATAGGATGGGGGGGGGGGGGTTACTTGTTAGTTACCCTCGGATTTATCTTTTCGTTTTTGTTAGTTTAGAATTTTGGAAATGTATATTGTAGAAGAAATACATTAATTTTAAGAAATCATATTTGATTGTAGGAAGATAAACTTTTGTCTTCCCTTTTACTAATTACTGATGACTACACTCCAGGAACCTTTGGTTAACGATGAAGTGGTTGAAGATCTACCAGTGTGGGCTGAGCGACTCACATCCGTGCAGGTGCTAGATAATAAGTGGGTAGTGGGTGTGGCATCCTCCAGTGCAATACTTCATCAGACTTTGGAAGGACATTCTCGATGTGTTCTCTGTGACTATATAAAAAGGTATTTGTGGTAAATTTGGTAATGATTTTAAGGGTTTTCATATAGGGATTTGTATGTTTGTGTGTGTGTCTATGTGTAAAGAAAATGTTTTATGTTTGACTATGGATATAAAAATTCAGGTGTGTTGGGGAGGTATAGCTCTTCGGGACACACTGGCTCCTCAGTTCAAGAAGTATTCCTTGGTTCAGGTTTTCCTGGTTAATTTGTAGTCCCAATGACACTTTATTTGACTATTTTCTACACACACACACACACACATGTACGTAACTAAAGCATTATTGTACTAAATTTGAAATCTGGATATAAACTTAAGTAAACAGGAGAGATTTTACTTTCTAAATATTTGTAATCCAAGATATGAATACAATACTGTACTATATCCAATAATTCCTCATTATAAAAGGATAATACAACATTGATTTATTAAAGGCTTTCATGTAACTGTGTGTTGGTAAAGTAGCTTCTCATATTCTAACAAACATGTAAAGAATTTTAGGGTGTGGTTGTTTGACACTAATGGATGGTAAACGATTTTTAAATAATTTATTATTATGTATTTCCTTTTCAACAGCCATCCAAGTAGCCTGCAGCAGCGTCATCTCACGAGGTCACAAGCGAGCCGTATAATGTGGCACCACCAGCGGATCAAGTTTGACGGAGTACCTTTTACAATTCTCTCATCTGATGACCTTAAGTGTGCCTTTGGGATGAATTATAAAATTAAGGTAAATTAAAACTAGGGAAAAATCTCCATGTAAATAAAGGAGAACTTCTTGAGCACAGTATGCCTGTCCTTTTGATTTTAATGTAATGATCTTAGAGTTTTTGTGTGGCTTTTAGATGAAGGAGGAGAGGTTGTGTACTGTATAAAGCCTAGTGCTGTACTAGGTATGGTCTCAGCCTTCATTCTTACAAAACTTTATATTCATGGTCCTGTTAACAATAAATCGTGTATTTGTCTTAACAGTAAGTTAATTGTTGTTAGGTTCTTGTTTTCTGTACAGCATTTAACATTCTTTACTAAGCACATCTTGAATTTATAGTTATGGAAGCTGAATAAGACAATTTTCTCTGTACTCTACAAGGTACTGTATTTAGCTTGTGTGCATGTTTGTGAAAAATACATACGAGTCATCCATAATTATTTTAAAGCTTAGCCTTTTGGTACACATACAAGAAGCAGCAGTCTGTGTCCAGGGCTGTGCAGTGTTGAGTAGTTTATGAGAATTAAATTATACAGACATTGCTGTAGAGTGATTATGAGTTATATGAATTGTTGGGTAAATCAGTTGGATACCTGAGGTTTTTATAGAGGAATGGGAATAATATAGTAAAACACATAACTTTTTTATCATGTTTAACCATTAATGATAATATGAGGTATCACTGTACAGTAGTTTGGATAAGCAGGTACAGCATAACACAGGTCTTAATATGAGATAATTATTTACTTTGTTTATTTGTAGAGAAAAGGTACAGAGAGAACAACAGTAGAAAATAAACAACAAGCAGAGGAGGATTTTGAACAGGAGGAAAGAACTGACGAAGATAAAGATGACTTGGAAACAAGAAAATTGAACAAAAACAAGGTTAAAGAAGGAGAGATGAGGGACAATATGCCCAAGAAGCGATACAAAGATGTTACTTTTACCTCTTGTACTGCGAGAATCACCGTCAAGGTTATTGTCAAGTGAGTATTGTACATTACATCATTGTCTTTATAAATGTATTTGAATCACCTGAAAACTAGGTACCTCATCTTATTTGATGCAATGATAAAACTCCCTAACACTACCTGAGGGGGGTTAGGCTAGGCTAGCATTAGGGTGTTTAAGTATCAGGTGAAATATGCAGAGATGTGTAAACTTCGTGTGATCCTATTATTTCTTCAAAAGTTGCTGCTGATGAATGAAAGGAGAGAGAGGGAGAGAAAGTCCAAGAAGCAATTGGAAAGATGCGATGAGGGAGGCACTAGATTGTAGGCAATTGGAGATCCAGGAAACAATGTGTGTGTGTGAGAGAGACTGTGACAAGGTTGTATGATGTGACTGGGATAAACTGGATAGATGTCTTATGGCAGCAATATAGAGACTGTTTTTCTGCTCTTGATTTTATCTTCCCAACACTAATATAGACAAGGATTTTAAGTGGGTAAAAAAATGAATTACTTTGGTGGTTTTTAATTACAGCATTATATCTTATAGGTACCCAGGCTATGCAGTTCCTTATAATGCAATGCCTACAGAGAGGAAGGTGATGCTGAAAGCTCTCCGGAGAGACATGAGTCAAGGGTCAGTTTTGGAGAAGGAGGAACTTTACCATGTAACTTTGCCCTTAAGCTCTGTCCACAATCATCCACTACAAGGGCGATCAAGAGGCATTCATCCCTCTGTAACTAGTAAAATTAAGGAACTTGTAAGTAAAGGCATCACTGCTCCTAAGGTTATAAAGCGTATTTTGGACACTCATGTTAAAGAGCAGCACGATGGAGACATGGTGGTTCCACAACTTGATGACAGGGCATATTATCCTCGCCTGAAGGATATTGCTAATCTTGTCTATACTCAGTGTAAGAAAATGGGAATATCAGCCAAACGGAAAGTCTCCAATGATCAGACCTCCTTTGAAACAAATCAGAGAAGGAAGAGAAAACACAGAAGAACTAGATCTGATGGTGAGAATGAGATAGTGTGTTCTGATAATGTAATGTCAGATAGTGTGCCTCTGCAGGCCTCAACCTTGCAGGAAGCTGTGCAAACATTTTGTACTGACGAGCCAGACAGAGGAAGTTTGAGTGGTCTGGAAGGGCGAGAGTGTATCTCTGCTGATGTTGTACCCAGGGATGGATCTGGAGAGGTCGCAAGCCTAGCAGAGATGGTGCGGGGACAGTTGGATACAATACGTAGCCTTACATATTCTCTTCATGAGGTAGGTGGCCTTCAGGAGATGTATCAGTCACTTCAGGTCATATTAAACCAGTACATGACAAATCAGCACCACACCTTACAAGAAGGAATAACTGAAGCCCCTGCTGCCACTGCCTTCATCATACAGGATTCAATGGTAGATTCACTACCTTCATCAGCTTCACCTGCTCAGGGTGTGTCAGAGTCGACAGCAGAGCACCTTGTGATCTCAGAAAGAGATGGAAATGGATCTGTGATAACTAGTAAACCCAGAACTACGCAGAATATAGGGAGTCAACATGTGCGACAGTTGAGACCACCTGTTGCACTCCAGTGCTTGACTACCAGCATGGTCCCATCACTAGCAATGTCACAGCTTCCAAGATCAACCAGTCAGAATCCTCATCAAGCTCACACGCACATTGTCACATCAGTCCCTCACAGTGGAAATACTCCAGCAACAGCTACCATACCAACACCCACCTACCAGACACTGGGACCAGCCACACAAGATGGCTCTCCAGCCCCTGTTCACTTATCACTTCCTCCATACTTTTATTATGTACAGGAAGTCACTGTTCCAGAGTCCAGCCAAAATTGGACATATACTACTTCATCATGAACTTGTGATTACCATGGTTTCAGATAAAATGTGTAAATAGACAGGATAATCTACAACGACTCTGAGTGATGCAATGAATACATATATGTTCAAGATTGAACTAATGTCAAATAAATAATTTCTCACTTGCGAGATAAATAACTATTTTACTCCAGGAACAGTTTGAATCACTGGGCCAGATGTTAGTTAAATGTTGATTTGTTTGGTGGTCAGTTTGTACAGTACCTTGTAGTTATAAAAGTTGTATGATCAAGGTTTAACATTTAGTTTTTATATTTTATTTCATTGTGTATTGTATTGTGTCTTTTGTTTTACTGTTTAATGTTTGATAGATAAGAGAGTAATACATAGTACTTGTCATGATCATGGAAGGTGTGTTTAGTATGGTGGGGGACACGTTTTTCATTTAGATTGCTACAAGGTTATGGAGAGTGATGAAGGAAAATCAGATAGATATGTGAGACTTTTTTGTTGAATGGGAATATCATAGGATTCACAGCAGAATTCATTTGTTATGGCAGCAGGAATGAATGAACAACAAGACCTTAAAGAAGAGTGAATAAAAATTATGCATAAACTTAAAAAGGTAGTTAGGTGTTGTTTCATCCAGTGACAATTTAGAATGTGTGTTAATGCAAAGGTAATTCACTGTTGAAGATTGTACAAACGTCTTTCATCATCATCATTGTTGTTTCAGTTCTATCATTATCAGTGGCGTGTCGTGAGAAAATGCTAGGGTAAGCAAATGACGCTTTCTTACTTGTAAAGTCACGAGATCTAAAAGAATTCTTTAGTAGATCTACAGTGATCTCACAAGTAAGAAAGCGTCATTTGCTTACCCTAGCATTTTTCTCACGACACGCCACTGATCATTATCATTGTTATAGCAATAAGAATGAACTAGTGAGTGACAATGAATGAAGGGAAATTCTGGGTGTGTTTAAGCAATTTACTTTGAGGACACTGCTCTTTCAAAATAAGGAGTAACAGCACTTTGGAGGTAAAACAATATATATAGTTGTTCATTTTCTAATGCCACCTTGACCTTTGTCGTAAAGTTATTTAATTTTAGATGTAATATGTTTACCATAATTTTGTATAATTTGTGACATTTTAGTGTATAAACTAAAGAGAATTTGGTTCTTGTATGTGTCTACCCATTTTACTTATAATTTCTTATGTACAGTATACCTGTACTGTAGATACAAGTTAAGGGCATGAGTAAGTATGTGTACAGTATAGGTACAGTATTAACTAGTTGTCTTATCCTTATGCTGCCATTTCCATATGTGTCTTGCATAACTCAAAGTTACTTCCCTCTTGCTTTGAGTTTTCTATACCCCTTAATCTACTCCATACCAAGGCGGGAAGGAAGTAGAAATAGGTATGTAGACAGGTGAATATATCGTTGTTGAAAAAAGTGATGCTTGTGAAACTTTGGCAATATGTTTGTCTTTGGCTAAGTGACAGCTTCCCGCACCAGGTTCACCTTAGGGTAAGGGATGGGTGGTATGTTATGTTTGTGAGTTGTTTAGCATAATATTTTTCATCCAGTGATAATAACTGAAGAATCCCTGACTTTACTATTCACAGATCATGATAGGAAGTGAAATACATTACCGGCTAACTCATTATATTTGTTACCAGTAGGTTATTGATGTGATGATTTATATGCAAAGCAAATTCTCACCTCTAGAATTATCTGGTCTTTCTTTAGGCTTTAAAATATTTTAATTAAAATCCCACATCAGGGCTGTTATTACGCCAAAGTAGCTCTCATTTATCTCTCTGGCTATCTAAACATTGATCTCATTTTGACCAAGCCATGTGATCATGGTGAAGTAGTGGAAGCGACGAGTCAGCTTTTGGGATAGTCTTATTGTATAGAGAAAATATGGCCCTGTAAAAATCACTAAGTTTTGTATTAAATTTAAGATGTAAAGTTAATACATTGCTCTGTTTATGAATGTAGCAGTGTTAAATGAGACTCGGGCTGATTACACCTCAAATGAGGAGGAAATCGCCATAGATGATGCAGTGAATGGAGTACATAGTATTATGCACGGGGCTGTTGACTGTAAAGTTGGAATGGTTGGTAAATGAAGAGGATTTATGTAGAAGTTTAATGACTCAACTTAATATTGAATTGGTATGAAGTACAGTATTGTAACCTTAATTATTGTTGAGGCTCAGGGTTCAATTAGCAAGTACTGTACTGTACTGGTAAAGGATATAATTATGTATCATTACTCCTGATTCCAGATTAGTAATTCATGTAATTAGAGGGAAACTGAAAGAGTTCATAAGGAACAAAAATGACTGATGTAAAAAAAATCTAAATTAATGTAAATACAGTACAGGAAGTTGTCTTTATAATTCTTTTATACTAAGCTGTGTGAAGCACATTTTTTTTTAAATAAAGATATATTTTTGAAAAAGTTTAATTGTACATTTCTAAGAATAGAATGGAAGATCATAAGAAAGAGAAAAAAAATGTATGGCAGTTAGAAAGGTGGCTTTGTGTGTCTGAGAGTTTCCCCAGCTGCACTTTTCCAGTCAGCCATTCCCTCTCCCCAGCATTTTTGTCAGGAATAGGGGAAGTGGCATTTTGTGTTACACTATTCCTTGGAGCACATGATCCCATTGAGTGGCAGGGGTTTCTCTCAGTTTAATAAAATCGTTTGGCATTACCCAGAATGAAATACCTACAGTAAGTGCAACATTTCTCGTTAAAGGGTTAATGGGTGTTTATTTACCTTGATCCCCTGAACTTTGATGGTATAATCAGGAGTTTGGCAAAGTTCAATTATTCTTATGATTTTTATTTTTATTTTTCAATATTCCCTGTGCAGTGAATAATGACACGTTGCCTCCGTCATCCCCAAAAGGGTTGAGAGCTTCTGGTTACACTCTGTACCTATTGTTATAATCAAGATTTAAGGTAAGGGAGATACAGTACAGTATGCCTTAAATCTTGATGCTCAGTAATAATAAGGTGATCAGGACACCTTGTAATATTTTTATGGCTTGCTGTAATGGTTTTGAAAGTACTGTAACTACTGTACAGTATCCACAATGTATGTTGGGATGAATGGATTTACATGTGTTTTGAGAGTAAGGTGGTAGACATGGCATTAAGAAATTGTGTGTGTGTATTAAGAACCGAGTCAAGCTACTTGTTCATTATACTGTACAACATTAATACTAAATGTTCACCACAGCGAGTATAAGATCACCTTATGACTTGAGCACAACTGGACACAATGGGCTCAACGGACGAGGCTAAAAACGTGCCCAGACCTCCCTACATCAACGATACTTTCAAAAGTTAATATCATCAGCTATCACTGACATATCTCATGATTCACACCGATGCATACATTTAGCTAAGAGTTAGGTAAAAAATATACTTAACCAGATAATGTACCGGGTTGAGAAGTTTCACCGGTGATGACTATTTCCTGTCGAGAGATTGAGTGTGGACGTGACAGGAAGCTCTTACAAGCAATAACCAACCCAATTTAGACCACCACACCACCACTCTCACCACTGCCTGATACCCACAGGCACAATAGGATCCTTTACTCATGTGAAAGCAAGTACATTTCACCCTTCAGTCCATGTACCACATCTGCTTACACATTCCCAGGGACTGAACACATACTTAAGTGTGTTTCAGAGTCAACGTTAACCATAATTCACAACAAGCAACAAAAAAATTTAAAAAACGCACTCTAACTCAGTATCTGCATTATTCACACAAATGTTTGGATGTATATATAATTTACTTATTTGGAATCTCACCATTCACCAATTTACTGTATACATAAATGCATAATCTTACCATAATTAACAATACATTTGGAGAGGTAATCTTACCATAAGTTCCTATTATATTCAAACATTGTATTCTAACAGCTACCACAACACGTGAGTGACCTTCATTAAGTTTGATACATTAGAGATTATATTTAGCACCTTTATGGCGTCACAAAATGTAAAACGATTTGAGTCACTATTCAAACTTCTGCAGTCCATTGTTGAGATAATTACTGGAAACCTCTTCACCAATCACACGTTAGAATCATCCTCATTACCCAGCAATCATGACCAATACTTAAAGACATGGTAAGATATGTTTACAGTACAGGTCCAGTTATGAGAGTCATAGGTTATCAGACCTGTGGAAAAAATTGACCTAAAAACATTTGCTTTAATGGATGTGGATACAATGTAGATGATGGTGTAGTGGATGTACTGTAGATGGTGGTGAAATGGAGAAGATAGTGTAGTAGATGTAGTGTACTCCCCACACACACATAATAACCTCAATCAACTCAAAACATCCTGCTTTAAATACTTCATCTCTGGCAATTTGATGAACACATTTAACAACGACACTTCACTCTACTCTGATCTCTCCCTGTGATCAATTATATATTAAAACAAATGAAAATTAGTCTTTTATATGTAGGCTGAAAATGTAGGTCTGGTTTTTCTGTTGTGGGGGCAGTGGCACAGTGCAGGTACTCTTCCGCCAGGCAACCATGAAAAAGTAGTCACTCTAAGCCCCTGAGGGGCTGAGGGTGGTGGTGGTTGTTGAGAGAAGGTAGTGGGAGGAGGGGGCGAGTAGAGAGTGGATGGGTAATGAGGGAGGGGGAGAGAAAATAGACTAGACAGCAAAATAGTAAGGGAAGGAATAGGGTGAGGAGAGGAATGGAAGGGTACATAGGCGCACACACACTAAACACGAGCCTCAGTGAGAGTTTAGTAGGTCAAGACTCATCTTCTTACTCACCCATAAGGCTTAGTAAATGAAGTCATGGTTAAGTTAGGTGAGGACACTACTTCAATCCTTAGTAAGATATTTTGTTTACAACGACATAACAAACAGATGGACGGACAGGAGGAGTTACTAAAATACCAAAGGAAAAAAACTTGTTCATTCTATCTAACTTTCTGCGCGTGATTTCACCTCAGAGATTTTTACCCTTGTCTACTTCTTCCTCTTCTTCTTTTTATAGCCTATTCCCGGGCTACCTGATACTATACCTGTACTACCTGCCACAAAAACCAACAGGGCCTATTAAGTTCAGGTCTTCCGCCGTCCGAATCAATGACTCTTAAAACAGTCTAACAGCCTCCACTGTCCACACACACCTTTGAGCAGAGAAGTTATATCATTATCATCATTAGTATTTACACTCAGCCACTACCTGTATGAATATCAACCACTCGCCTGGCCTTGATAATGAGTTCAGTGCCCTCTAGTATAATTATCATTATCTTTATGCTACTTAGAACAGCTGGTGTTTATACTAAGAACACCTGATGCAAGCCCGTCCTTTAGGGCGACTGCCTGGGGCCCCAGAGTGGGGGCCCCCGGGGCCCAGCACTAGACCCAGTGACCTCGGACACATAACCTGTTGACTGGTTAATCTGACCTGACGGCTTACGCCACCATCGCAACCGTGACCTTACCATCCATAGCGACAGTCCCATTTTTTTTTTTGGGGGGGGAGGGGGGCGCAGTGGCTGAGTTGCCCCGGGCCCCGCACCCTCCTAGGGACGGCCCTGACCTGATGTTTACAATGGTCATCTGCATAATGTTCACAGGTGAGTTGTCTGCACCTTGAGTAAGATAAGAATCCCTTATGTTTGATTTTGTTTAATTCAGTCACTTTAGGTTTAGTTATCTGGGTTTGTATTGCCAATAATTAAGCGAACAGGTACTGTATACTGTTAGGTGTATGTGTTAACCTGTGACATCCTTTATACTGCCAGGT